GTGTGTGTGTGCGTGCTTGAGTGCAAGGATTGTAGACAGAGATTTCTTTCAATTCGTTCTATTAGATAAAGTCGAGCCCGATCGGAATATTATTTTCTTTTGTTTCTTGTTTTTGCTTTTTCCTTGCTTTAAGTGCTCATTGTCCTGTCGGTCCGATTGTCGTTTCTTTTTAATCGAACTTTTTAAAAAATGGAAAGTTACAACAAATTGCTGACTGGTTTCTATTCTGAGCACCGTACTTCGTTATGAACAAGCGTAATTTGTATTATAAAGAGCCCTCGGGTGTTTCAATTTTCTTCTCAGTGGTTTTGTTTTCCATCTCGTGGTATTCTTATGGTATAGCCTCCCCAAAGGCGATCATTAAAATAATGAATGTTTTTATATGACTCAAAACCCAAATGTTAAAACTGGTCAATACTGTTTTCTACTAAACAGAGCAAAAAATGTACCATAAAAGCCGAAAGCTGAGATAATTTTTAACAATTTTGACAAAAAGTTTATTTAATAATGTTTATGCACTTTTACCTTCAATAACTTTGCTTTGTTTTAATGTAAAATATGCTAACTGACCCTGGGCATTTTTTAAAATGTGGGTGTCTTTTGTTTTGGGTTTTTGGTTTGTTTGTTGTTTTTTGTTTGGTTGGTTGGTTTACTCATATCATGCTGATTGTTATTATGTTTTTGTTTTCATTTAGTTGAAGATAGATACGTTATTAAACAGAAGAGTTTATAAAACCAGGGTCTGCGAGGTGTCGTAGTTATGCGCTCCATTGCCACACGTAGCAAACACAATCTCCATTGTTGTGAAATTTAATCGAGTATCTCAGACTGTCTGCCTAATTCCTCGCGTCCATAATCCTCGATCTACACACCCTCCCTCCTAACACCCCCACCCCTTACGAAAAATCCCTCAACCTCTGTTAGATCCATATTATATTCCCTTCTTTCCCCCAGAACACAATCTACTACATACTATTATTCGAAAAATTAATTGAAGACCTGAGAAAAACACTAAGTTCAAGACACATTTAGATGATTTCGAGAACATAAGCAAGACCTATTTCATGAAATGCTTCAAGTAAGTTCCGATTAGAGGGCATAAAAAGATTGTTTCTAGACTTGATCTTGTTGTTGCATGAAGGCTTTGCATCTTTGAACAAGAAGAACTGTGCTTAGGAACAGAATAGCTCTTCGTCAGTGCTAGTAATAGATAACCATTTATTGTCCCCACTTTTGAATGATATGCAGAACTTTATTTTGAGGAAAATATGATTTAACCTTGCTGTAGTTCAAAGGTCTCCCAATCTTTCCCCTTATATTCCGACTTGTTTTTCCTCCTTTTAGTCCGACCACGGATCTACCAAGTCCCCTCTCCGTCAGTGCCCTCCTAGCCAGAGTGTCGATAAAACCAGAAACCGCAAGTCCGAAGGTCGTTCTTTTCTCTCGTGGTTGGTAGTTGAAAAGGAGCTTTGTTTGTGTTATTTTAACAATAATATTATGGGGTGCCCACTACGGCTGAATCGGGATGATCGCCCGACATGGTCGGCTGAAACTGAAAACAAACACGTTTGTTTTTTAGGCGACCGTGTCGGGCGATTGGCCGCATCGGCTGATCCCGTCCGTAGAGGGCAACCCGTATAACAGTCTATGAAAATTTCGTTTGGACGTGTCCACTGAAATGGCACGATATCTCCAGGCAAAAGACGGCTCAGTCAGAGTGCTGCATGCGGCCTTTTTAGCCAGGGCCATGTGATGACTCAGTTTTTTTGCCTAGCCAGAACTTCTTCTAACAAAAAATAAAAGTTCATTTCCAGTGAAAAATCGAATACTACATTCTGCGTGCGTACTCATCGCCTCAAAACTTGCAAATTCATTTTGCAAACTATCTGCTTTTAGATGCATGTTTATTAATAAGTTTACACTGTTGTTTTAAATCAGTCATTTCTTATTAAGACAGCGTTTGTTGATTATTTATTTGTGAGGCAGCGTGGTGGATTCAGGCTCTCGTCAAAATAATCAAAGTGAAGAAACTTGCTTTTTCTGTTGGTTTGTGAACTTTTATCAAATTTTTGTTTTTTGACTCAACACCTTTCATGCCCATTATCAGAACTCATTTATGCGTGGAGTTTTCTGAAAAACGTTGATTAAAGGCACAAAAATGTAAATTTTCAGTTACCACAGAATTTTAAGCTAAGGAAATAACTAATCTTTGGCGGACATTTTCTCACTAATTTTACCTCTGAAAACAGGTGACCCCCACCTCATTTATTTGCAAATATCTCGACTTGTATTCAAGATAAATGGATATTTTTTTCATCCAAATAAACACAAGTGAACAAGCTTTATGATAGTACCAATATCTCTACATGCTCAAAAATTGACGAGAGCGTGATTCAACCACGCTGCCTCACATTTATTATCTCCGGATAACGACAAACGACACAATCGTCAGAGCTACTCACACGTTGGTGCACAGGCAAGGCGGACATAAACAAACTGATTTGCCTCCTCCGACACAAAGACAACCCCACCCCCACCCC